TTTTTTTTTAGGGTGCCGTGGAATCCATCGCCATGAAGAACCCCAAAGAGCGGACGGCGTTATTCGAGGAGATCAGTCGATCGGGAGAATTAGCCCAAGAATACGACAAACGGAAAAAAGAGATGGTGAAAGCGGAGGAGGACACGCAATTTAATTATCACCGCAAGAAAAACATCGCCGCCGAGCGGAAAGAAGCCAAGCAGGAGAAAGAAGAGGTTTTTTGGGGGGACAAATACGGGACGTTGGGGGGCTTCGACTTCATCGTCGCACCCCACCGACGTGAGATTTCTTTTTCTCTTTTATTTTTCTTGATTTTCGTTTAGGCGGATCGTTACCAGCGCTTGAAAGACGAAGTGGTGCGGGCTCAAGTTCAACTGCAGCTCTTTAAACTTTATCATAACGAGGCGGAAATTGAAAAATTAAATAAAGAATTAGGTTTAAAAAACCGGGAGATCGATAAAGATAAGAAAAGGATGGATCGGGTAGAGGACGAGCTGAAGGATCGCAAGAAGGAATTGGGGAAGATGATGAGAGAACAACAGCAGATCGAGAAGGAAATTAAGTGAGACGCCGCAAAAACGAAGCAAAATAAAAATAATCGGCGAGGAACTCTTCCGCGTCCTCGACTTTGTTTTATTTAATTTTTAATTTAATTTCCAGGGAGAAAGATTCGGAGCTCAACCAGAAACGTCCTCAATACATCAAGGCGAAGGAGAACACCTCGCACAAAATCAAGAAGCTGGAAGCGGCCAAGAAATCGTTGCAGAACGCGCAGAAGCAGTACAAAAAACGGAAGGGGGACATGGACGAGCTGGAGAAGGAGATGCTCTCGGTGGAAAAAGCGCGGCAAGAATTCGAGGAACGGATGGAAGAAGAGAGTCAGAGCCAAGGACGCGACTTGACGTTGGAGGAAAACCAGGTTAGGAGCTCGTCCCAATGTCCCCCCGTGTAAATTTTAAGGGGGAGGGGGTCCCGTGCTTCCCCTCCCTGTGTCCCCCCCGTCTTTATTTTTTTTTTTAGGTGAAGAAATACCACAGGCTGAAGGAGGAGGCCAGCAAACGTGCCGCCACGCTGGCCCAAGAGCTGGAAAAATTCAACCGGGATCAGAAAGCCGACCAGGATCGATTAGATTTGGAGGAAAGGAAGAAGGTGGAGACCGAGGTGAGGCCGGAGGGGTCCCCCCAAACCCCCCCACCCCGGTGAC